AAAATAATAATAATAATAAAAGTATAATATTAAAACATATATACAGTGAAGTAGCTAAACAAGGAAAATAAACAATAATAATAACGGTGCAACATACATTTGAAAAACACACTACAGGAATTAAGGATAATGTTACCATATTTGTGTACAGAAGATATGTATTCATGAGCCTTCAGTTCAATAGGAAAAAAAACCCTTGTTAAATTCACTTATAGAATTGGGACCATTCAGAGGAGATAAATTGTTGTTGAGATAGATAATCTAAAATTGGGTACCACTTTTCAACAAACCTTTGATGTTTTGGACTTTGAGAAGTAGTGTCTAGTTTGCTTGAAACAGAATCCATTAAATAGTGATTCCATAATTTTCGGAACCAATTTTCTGTTGTTGAAGCTTTAATATCTTTCCAAAGAGTAGCAATTGTGGTCTTGGCAGCGTCTAGCATTATTTCGATAGTTGCTTTATGTGGTCTCTTCATTAATTCTGATGGCCAGGTATTTAAAAACACTGTTTCCGATGTGAATGGAACTTGTATTGAAGTAACTTCTTTAATTATTTTAATAAGTTTTTGAAAGTCTTCAAGGCACAAGGGGGAGGGTGATAGCTTTTGACTGAATCTTTCCATTCTCTCCCCCCCCCCTTCTCCTCTCCACAAAGGGAAAGATTTTGGAGAATCTACATATCTGCAGTCAAGTCCAGTTCGTCCGGTACTGGCGGAATGGACGAAAGCAAGGACCAGACGCCAAACTTTTCATAAAGGACATGAAGTTTAAACATGTACTCGTCCGGATTTACCAGCCCAAAGCTCCCTCTGCTGGCCGAAGGAAAGGCATCGTTTTCTTTCATGGAGGCGGATGGATGTTTGGAAGCATCAGTGAGTTGCATCTTCCAAACTTTCTCTGTGCCGTAATCCTACGTAGCCTTTGAAGTACGGATGGTTCACTGAATTTGCATGGGAAAGTTCCTCCTGATAATGAAGATAGATAGATAGATGATAGATAGATGATAGATAGATAGATATAGATATAGATATAGGGATGGATGGATGGATGGATGGATGGATGGATAGATATAGATGGATAGATGGATATAGATGGATGGATATAGATGGATAGATGGATGGATAGATAGGGTAGATAGGGTAGATATTCCCTCAGTCCTACCCTCTTACATTCTGTAGGGAGCCTTTTCAGGAATTCCTAGGGATATAATCTGGTAGTGATGATTTCAAATTGTTCATCCCTGCAATTATTTATTTTCTGTGCCATCTTCTGTTCCCTTCTGCAATCGCACACCCTCCCTGCCCTAATGCTCAGGAACAATGCTCCCTCTAAGCCAGTGGTGGCGAACCTATGGCACGGGTGCCAGAGGTGGCACTCAGAGCCCTCTCTGTGGGCACGCATGCCATTGCCCCAGCCAGGCCCAGACCATCATTAAAGTGTCGAATTCTCTGCCAAATAATTTTAAGTAAATGAAAGCATTTGGGATTGCTTTCCTTACTTTGTTTGGATCATCTTAAGTTAATGTATGAGTGGTTTTTTTCTAAAGTAAAACCTCAGTATTCAGGTTAAATTGCCGTGTTGGCACTTTGCGATAAATACGTGGGTTTTGGGTCGCAGTTTGGGCACTCGGTCTCTAAAAGGTTCGCCATCACTGCTCTAAGCTGTGGAGTCTTGTGAGCAAGAACTCTACTTTGTGAGCTATTGACATTAAAGCTGTGAGTGAGCGATTTGGCCGCTGCATAAATTAGTTTGCTCTGGAGCCATCCTTCCTGAGCTAAGACAAAAATGTGTGAGCCAGAGGCTAAAAAACTGTGAGCTAGCTCACACTAACTCAGATTAGAGGGAACCCTGCTCAGGAATGTTTTACTGCTTACAGTTTCTTTGTAGCTTTGCAGTTTTACTAGCCTGTTTTGTGCCTGCATTTCCCTGGGTGGCTATCATCCGGGGATGGAGTGGGAGGAACACAAATAGTGGCAGCGGGAGGGGAGGTGCCATTCTGTCATTCACAAATAAGACATCTCTGGAAACATCTGCTTTGCAGGATCCTATGAGAAGATGTGCCGTTATATCTCCAAAGAAAGCGAATCGGTGGTGGTGTCTGTGGAGTAAGTCAAGCCCAGTGGGCCGCGGTGTTGACAGAAGTGTGTCATGTACTTGGTAGGGAAACATCTCTGTCCCCCGACAGCAGAAGCAACCTGATCATGTGACGGACATGAGCCAGGATGCTTCCGTATGTCTTCTTGGCAGTGTCTCCCTTTCGGAAACCTGTGAAAACTGCTATTCTGAAATCAGTGGTTTCATCTGTTCTCTTACATCATTCAAGGGCGAACTGAGATCATTTTAGACTCTGGATTTAATGGCCCGAGGGCACCTCCTTCATTGTTAATGTCAGATGCCCCTTCCGTAGAATATGGGAGGGGACCTTGGAAGTCATTGGAAAGCCAGAGTGGTGTAATGGTTAGAGTGTCAGACTAGGACCTGGGAGACCCGGGTTTGAATCCCCACTCTGCCATGGAAGCTCACTGGGTATTCTTGGGCCACTCAAACACTACTATCTTTACCTACCTCACAGGATTGCTGTGAGGATATAACAGAGGAGGGGAGAACCATGTAAGCCACTTTGGGTTCCTGAAAGGTGGGGTACAAATGAACTATATGAATGAACTATATGAATGAATGAATGAATGAGTGAGTGAGTGAGTGAAGTGAATGAATGAATGAATGAGTGAATGAACATCCATCCTCCAAAGGCTGAGCAGAACTATAAGATACAAGCCAATGTTTCTGGTTGCTGGATGAATATACGATGGTGATTTTCTATGCCAGCCCATGAAGGGGAGAAAGTAAAGATTTACAAGTATTAACAAATAAATATTACCCGCTCATAGGAGCCAATGGACACACCAATAAAAAACACTGCACAAAAAGAATCTTGAAATGCCTGTGCATGCAATCCCTCAAAGATTGGATGGTGTTGTTGTTGTTTTTTTGGGGGGGGGTGTTTTGTTAATATATTTGTGCACATGGGTGATACAAAAGAAAGATGTGCAGGAAGGGAAAGTGGGTGTTGTGGGGCAACTGTGCATGCTTCTGGAATTAATTCTAGACATTCTCCTAGTTGAACCAGAATCAGGGAGGTGAGTTGTGCAAGGCAACCCACGGAGTGCAACAGAAGAAGTCTTACCGTAATTCTTAAGTCATAAAGGACATTGGTGATAGGGAGGTGAGTTGTGTAGGGCAACCCACGGAGTGCAACAGAGGAAGTCTTAATTCTTAAGTCATAAAGGACATTGGTGATACATTGTGAGTAATCATTCAGGTGCCCTGGCTTAACAAGCCACAAAAGGTACTGGAGGCCACAAAAAGAAAAGAAAAAGAGCAAACCACATAAAAACAGATTGTTATTACGTACAGTGCAAACAATCTGTACGTACAGTGCAAACAATCCCAGTAAAGTGTAACGATTTCTGAATGTCCTGGTAACAAATGAATTGACGGTCTTCCGGCTAATTAAGTCACCATTTTCTTCAGAATCCTTTTTCCTGTTGCAATCCTGTTGGAGTCTGGCCTTGTGCAGCTGTTGTGAATGGTTGTTTACATCAGCCAATCACTGAAGGGAAAAGACATTTAAATCACAAATCTGTGATCCAACTTTTTATGTACAGCTGTGATAACGAAGTGCGCTCTCTCTCTCTCTCTCTCTCGCTCTCTCTCTCCACCCCACCCCCCCGGCTTACCAAGCCCCAGCTAAATAGAGAATAATTAGATTTCCAATTTGTGTCAATGGATTTAGGTACCGCCTGTGTCCCGAACACAAGTATCCGGCTCCGCTGAACGACTGTCTCGCTGCCACCACCCACTTCCTTCAAACCGCCGACGACTATGGTGTGGACAGCACCCGTGTCATTGTTGCAGGCGATAGTGCCGGGGCCAGCCTGGCCTCTGTCGTGTGCCAAACCTTAGTGGGTCGACAGGGCCTTGCGAAGGTGTGTGCCCAGATCCTCATTTATCCCGGTCTTCAAGCCATAGACTTCCACTTACCTTCGTATCAGCAAAACCAGGCTGTACCCATTTTATACCGGGAAAAGGCTGCATTCTTCTTCCTACATTACCTGAATGGAGACACCTCCTTACTGGAAGAGCTCTTGCAAGGGTGTCATATCCCTGCGGATCTGAAACTGCGCTACAGGAAGTGGCTAAGTGCAGACAACATCCCGAAGGAATTCAAGGCCAGAGGTTACAAGCCTCCGGTGCCCGTCGCTTGTGACGACGAGGTGTACGAAGAACTTAAGAATGTGTTCGTGCCAGAAATTTCACCGCTGATCGCCGAAGACTCTGTGGTTCGAAAGCTCCCCCAGACGTGTATCGTCACCTGCGAATATGACATTTTGCGGGACGACGGGTTACTGTACAAGAAAAGATTAGAGGACAATGGGGTCCCCGTGACTTGGTATCACATTATTAACGGATTCCATGGAATCGTAAACTTCTTCGATAATGGCTGGTTTACTTTTCCATCTGGGAAGCAAGGGCTGGATAACGTTGTCAGGTTTATCCAAAGCTTGTAGAAACTATCTCGCTGCACTTCAAGGACGGGATATTCCATCAATCTGTTTCAGGAGGGTAGCCACGTTGCTCTGCAGTACAAGAGCTAGATTCAAGTTCAAGAGCGCCTTCCTTGGTGACCAACAAGATCTTTGGGGGTATAAGTTTTCAGGAGTCAAAGTTCCCCTTGTCAACTCTGACCCAGGGAGCTTTGCCTCTTAAAAGCTTTTACCCAGGGCTTTTTTCGTAGAAAAAGCCCAGCAGGAACTCATTAGCATAATAGGCCACACCCAACAGCAGGAACTCACTAGCATATTAGGCCACACCCCTGACAGCACAACTCATTTGCATATAGGCCACACCCCCATGTTACCAGAAGTGTGGTCACCCAGCCACACCCACCTTTTGCTTCTTATTCTCTTTACCTTGCTTGTTGACAAAACCCAGGGCTTTCTTTTTGGAGCAGGAACTCCTTTACATGTTAGGCCACACACCCCTAATTGTAGCCGATCCTAATGCTAATGAGTTCCTGCTGGGCGTGGCCAACTTGGGAGCCAGCTGGAACTCCGTTCCTGTGCGTTCCTGCCCAAAAATAGCCCTGCTTTTACCTCAAAAATCTTGTTGGTCTCTGAAGTGCTACTGGATTCAAATTTGGCTCTTCATCAATCAGGGTTCCCAATCAAAAGGAGACAAAGCTGGGTTTAAGTGTCACTGAGTAAATATTTGAAATAAAGGAATATCTACAGTGCTTCTAGCTTGTCAGGAAGACGCAGTTTCTGGGGATGGTGTTGATTGGTTAGGGGGCACCCTGGACCAACGCATCTTAAGTTCAACAGACCCACGGACCCTTTTACAGACATTATTCTGATTTGTTATGATGGTGGGTGATGGTGGTAAACATTTTTATCTCACTTCTCTTGTCGCAGTCCTGAGATCGACTTACCAAAAAAGAATGCCCATAAAACGTTTCTGGTGCCAATGAATGCTCAGAAAAATCTACAGTCTTCATCCGGCGCATCTTTATGTGTTAGTGCTTGATCTGCTTTCATCCTTCTGTGCAAGTGGCTGTTTGAGTGCCTCCAGGAAAAGCTCCCGACAGAATTCTCTGGTAGTTTAAGTGGACGTTCTGCGGGGCGCATTTTGACAGTCCAACGGGTGGGCAGTGTGGTGCTTGTCACGACTCCATTCCTTGATCCAGGCCAGTATACAGACCCCTCTTGGACCACCATGTGCTGATCCATTCCAGGAAATGAACAAGGAGGATTAAAGGAAATTCTAGAAGGAGGGTAGCTCCACTGTGGCTGGAGTCCAATAGAGAGAGGGAACTTCACTAGTAAACATTGCATCTCTTAAAGTCTGTGGTGTCTCCTGGTTTTCATGCACGGAGTCTTCCTTCCCTCTCCACAGTTATGCTTCTAGATACGATAGGCAGCACTAGGGATGCCAACGCCAGGTTGGGGAATTCCTGGAGAGGTCGAGGTGGTGTCTGTGGAGGACAGGGCTTGGGGAGGGGAGAGAGCTCCACTGGTGTCCTGCCATAAAGTCCATCCCGCAACGCAGCCATTTCCTCCAAAGGAACTGATCTGGAGGTCAGTTGTAATTCTGGGAGATCTCCAGGACCCACCTGGATCTTGGCAACCCCAGGACAATCGTCTCTGTCCCTCCAGTCACTGCGGCTTGGATCCCAAGGTAACGTTCTGTCAGCGTAGCAGGAGGAGTTGCACTCATGTGCTCCCATCACGGGATCCAGGAGGGAAATTTCCGCCGATTCCCTCTCACACGACAGACCCCACACTTTGCTGCTCCTGGGGAGGTCCAGTGCAAGAGCAAATCTGGGAGGGCGCAGGAGGATACTGAAGGAGGGGGAGGCAGAGGTGTTGACTTCTTCTAGCATTGTGCTCTTGCACTATTTATGATCAGCGTTGTCGTGCCAAGTGACAATTGGGAGCGTGGAGATCTGGGGGCACGAGCCGTCAGCTGTTGTCCCTAGATCCTTTTTGGGAAAAACTTGGAAGTGACATAGGGTAGCTCTAGGACAGTGATGGCGAATCTTTTAGAGACCGAGTGCCCAAACTGCGACCCAAAACCCACTTATTGATCGCAAAGTGCCAACACGGCCATTTAACCCGAATACTGAGGTTTTACTTTAGAAACTTTATTTCTACATTAACTTAAGATGATCCAAACATAGTAAGGAAAGCAATCCCAAATGCTTTCATTTACTTAAAATTATTTGGCAGAGAATTTGACACTTTAACGATGGTCTGGGCCTGGCTGGGGCGGTGGCACGCGTGCCCACAGAGAGGGCTCTGAGTGCCGCCTCTGGCACCTGTGCCATAGGTTCGCCACCACTGCTCTAGGAGTTGCCGAAAAGTCTATGGCAAATTATAGAGTTTCCAGCAATTCCTACATCTACCCTCTGTCACTTCTGGTTTTTTTCCATGTATGTTTTTTCCCCAAGTGATGTAATGATGCAGCTGGTGTTGCCCCCCCCCACCGCCACTTGGAGCAATGGTGGACAAAAGAACCTGGAGGTGGGGGAATCCCCTGTCCCAACTGGGGGACTGGCACCTATTTAAGATCCAAGCCAGGGTCTTCTGAATAGTTCCAGGCCCCTGACTCTAAGCAGCTGCAACAGTTAATAGAACCACTGAACCAAAGTTCCACTCATCATCCAAGGTGCTTTAAACATCAGCCTATTGAATACCATTCCAAAAACACACATCTCTGCTGATCCTCATTTCCATTCACTTCCTCCACCCAAGAGCTGCTCAGCTGAGAAGCAACGAAGACCATAGTGACAAGACAGCTGCCTTTTATCTGCTTCTTAGTTATCTAGCAGTTCGAAAGCAAGACATTGCAAGTAGATAAATAGGTACCACTTCGGTGGGAAGGTAACAGCGTTCTGTGCGCCTTGGTGTTTAGTCACGCCGGCCACATGACCACGGAAACGTCTTCGGACAGCGCTGGCTCTTCGGCTTGGAAACGGAGACGAGCACCGCAACCCTAGAGTCGGATTCAACTGGCTTTCGAGCAAGGGAACCTTTACCTTTAGTTATCTAGTACATTTTTGACAGTCTCTTCCTCCTAAGCAGTTGGAGGCATACACATGGCTTCCCTCCTCATAACAAACCTGTTCAATAGGCTATGCTCACAGACAGCGACTGGCCCAAGGTTGTCCAGTGAGTTTGCAAGGATGAGTAGGGATTTGAACTTGGGTCTCCAAGTTTATGCCAGCCACATGACCACGGAAACGTCTTCAGACAGTGCTGGCTCTTCGGCTTGGAAACGGAGATGAGCACCACAACCCTAGAGTCGGATTTGACCGGCTTTCGAGCAAGGGAACCTTTACCTATCCCTAGTCAAAGTTTAACTCTACACTACGCTGGCTCTTAAAGAGCAAAGTCCACAGTTCTGGGTCAGAGAGGATGACGTCCCTGCTTCCCTTTCTGCTCTACGCTTCATGAAAGGGTCAGAGTTCTGTTCGGTTTGAAGGATTTCAGAGGGAAGATCCCAACCAGTGTTCCCTCTAAGCTGAGTGAGTGTGAGCTAGCTCACAGTTTTGTAGCCTCTGGCTCACACATTTTTCTCTTTGCTCTTCATGCTCTGCATGGCTCCAGAGCAGACTGATTTATACAGTAGCCAAATCGCTTGCTCACAACTTTAATGCCAATAAGCTCACAAAGTAGAATTTTGGCTCCACAGCTTAGAGAGAACATCCCAACATGACTTTTAAAGAATCTGATCAAGCTAGGACCATTTTAAATGATAGCTTAAGGAACAGGGGTGCTCCCAAAATGCTTCCCATCCAAATGTCTCCCTTGCTTTTGGAGTTCAAACTTACACACTGGAGCAAGTCCTTAAGGAATTCATTCCAGGGTTCCTTTCCTAAAATGATTTGATTACTTTTGCAGAACCCTGGCCTGTTCTCTGTTACTGGGGTATATTCGCGGGTTTGTCAAGATATTCAGATATATCTGGCTAAAGTCTCCCAGTTCCTACACAAAGATAAGCAGATTCCTCCTGTTCATTTTTAGAATTTCTCTCTGTGCTGCATACCCCTCTTGAAAGACGAACCATTCTCACCTCAGACAGATTGGGGGAATGACATGCCATAGGTGAAGAATAATACTGCCCCACATTACTGGCCTGTTTGTAAGGAATGCAATATATGAGAGACACTTTGAACCCCAAAAGTGCCACATAAATGCTCAATATGGGCCCCGGTCACATTAGCCACGCTACAGAGACGGAAGATAGGCAGATTTTCCGGGTGCGATCACAGCGCCACATCTGGGAAGCGTAGAGCTCCCGTGGCTCACCCGAGGCTTCCCGCCGAAGATGTGGGGTAAAAAACTAGTACCTCGGAGGTACTAGTTTCCGGAAACTGCGGGGCAAGGGCGGGCGTCTGATCGTGTTTCTCGTGGCATCCGGCGCCCGCCCATGTCCCCTCGCAAAAAGGTTTTTTTCCCCAAGTCTCCATGGGATGCGCACAAGCACCCAACAGAGCATGCGCACATTTCAGTTTTTAAAAAATCCCACAACCCCGTTTGCCGCGCCGCCCCGCTTCTTTGCCGCGTCGTGTGATCGGCACCTCCCCCCTAACCATGGAACCTCAACCAGACGCCTGATCGCGCAGGCGCACATTATTTTGCTCCGGGGCAAACAGCCACGCTCCCCCCCCCGCTTTTTCCAGCCCGTATGACCGGGGCCAACATATGTTTTGGCATTATAGGGTTGGCAACTATGGATTGGGAATTCCTGGAGATTTGTGGATGGAACCTGGGGAGGGTGGAGTGAGCAAAGAGACCTCAGCAAGTTATAGGGCCTTAGGATCTACTCTCCAAAGCAGATATTTTCTCCAGGGCAACGGATCTCTGTAGTCTGCAGAGCAGTAGTAATCCCAGGAGATCTCCAGGCTCCACGTGGAGCCTGGCAACCCCATTTGGTAAGCAGAGCACACCCTGTCCTGGGTTGGGATACTCGGCGTACTTATTTCCACACACATGGCTATGCACACAGATATGTCTACAGAGCTTCGTTTCCTTTCCAACCCCCTACCCCACCCTTTGGTGTAGTGGTTACGAGCATGGATTTTAATCTGGGAAAACCGGGTTTGATTCCCCAGCCAACTACATGCAGCTGCTGGTGTGACTTTGGGTCAGTCACAAGTTCTTTTGGAGCTGTTCATTCACGAGCAGTTCTCAAAAGAGTTCTCTCAGCCCCACCTACCACAGGGTGTCTGTTGTGGGAAGGGGAAGGAGATTCTAAGCCACACAGAGACTCCTTCGGGGAGTGAAGGGTGTGGTATAAAACCAATCTCCTCCTCCTTCTCCCTTCTTCTTCTTCTTCTTCCTGTTTCATAGGTAGAAGCCCTGGGCTCATATATTATTAAAACACAGTCGTTTTTATAAAACACACCTTACACAATAGAGTTGTAACCATCTCCTTATCTGGTTTCCGCGTCACAGCTTCAGTGGAATAATGCCATTTATTTCGCAGCGGTGGAGTCATTCGTTGCCTGGAGAGTTGCCGTGGAGATGGTCAACAACAGAGAATCTGAGACCATGGCACTCCATAGGCTTAAATGTCCCGCTCTGCACATACAGAGATGGAAACTTAGGAGCGTTTGCCTTTGCGGACAGAACATGTGAAAGACGGCCATGTTTACTCCATACAGCGGTGCACAGGAATGGTACCTCCCCGGCTGGAGAGTAGAACCAAAATACTCCACTAAAGTGCTCATTGGCAACTGGCTGGAAGAAAGGGGAAAGGTATGACGGGGAGACGATCGGATAAAACTTCTCAGACTACTGTCAGTGCCTGGGGAAATAGCGTGTGACTTTGGAAGGGCATTGTCAACAATAGTTTGAATTAGGCACACTGTGCCGGATCGGGTTGCTTCGACCCAGATCTGTCCCAATTGTGTAGAAAGAGAGAGGTGGTTTTATTTTCACAGCAAAATGGACACGGGAGAGGAGTACAACTAGGTTTCCAATTCTGAGTTGTGAAATTCCTGTAGATTTGGGAGTGGAGACTTGACAGACAGGTTTGGGGAGTGGAGGGACTAATGGTAGAGAGTTCGCCCTCCAAAGCAGCCGTTTTTTTCCGGAGAAAGTGATCTCCGTAGTGTGGAGATCAGATCTCTGGGCCGCAGCTGGAGGCTGGCAACCCAAAGGGGAGAACCGTTTCCCCCTTGCTGCCCCACAATCCCCAGGGTGGTGGAATTAGGGTTTTGAAGCGTTGGGTAGGAAAACAGAAATATTTTGCCATTGATTTCCACCACCACCACCCCCAGTTCTTCGGATAGACAAATTTGGAGATGTGTGGAAGAAGCGAGACAAAAACAAAAAACCCTCGTGTGAAACATCTTCCTTTTCCAAAATGATAAGCGAGTCTTGTTTTACTCCTTCAGCATGCACTCCCACGAGGATCCACAAGGATCTTGCATGGGTAGGAAAACAGAAATATTTTGCCATTGATTTCCACCACCACCACCCCCAGTTCTTCGGATGGACAAATTTGGAGATGTGTGGAAGAGGCAAAACAAAAACAAAAAAACCTCGTGTGAAACATCTTCCTTTTTCAAAATGATGAGTGAGTCTTGTTTTTCTCCTTCAGCATGCACTCCCACGAGGATCCACAAGGATCTTGCAAGAGAGGAGATATCCCAGGATCCACAAGGATCTTGCAAGAGAGGAGATATCCCAATCGCCTCACTGGCCCCCGTTTCTTTCCCTTCTGCTCAGCAGCCCACCTTCCAGTTGCCCCAACCGCTGCTTCCATCCTACCCCTTTGCCCCCAACACTGCCGCCTTCTGCCCCAAACATCCTGCCCTAGCCACAGTCTGTGGCCACCACTGACCACTTTCCCCAGTTGTGGCCACTGCTTTTTTCTCCTCTCCACTGCCACATGCTTCGGCAACGTTTATCAGGGTTGCTGGGCAACCCCAAAAATGGCGGCCAAGATTTCACCGGACTAACCCCTCCCCCAGTGTTGAAAGTCTGCACAAGAATAGATGTCTCTTCGATAGTTTAGTGTTTTTTAAACAAAAATCACCTGTGGTTCCCCCAGTTGCTGCCACTGCTTTTTTCTCCCCTCCACTGCCACATGCTTCGGCAATGTTTATCAGGGTTGCTGGGCAACCCAAAAATGGAGGCCAAGATTTCACCGGACTAACCCCTCCCCCAGTGTTGAAAGTCTGCACAAGAATAGATGTCTCTTCGATAGTTTAGTGTTTTTTAAACAAAAATCACCTGTGGTTCTTGAGGCAGGTACCCGGGGCGAGGGGAAAGTGTTTCCCTTCCATCTGGACTCTCTCTTCTTTTCTCCGCCTCCTTTGCTTCTTAAATGTAATAAAGCGGGCAGAAGCTCTGAAGCTTCGTGTAAGAAGCGGAGAGTGCGGCTCCAGCTGGAAATGAGATCTGATGAGAAAATCAATATTGCATAGACTAGGGCGACCATATTTTGAAAAGCAAAAAAGAAGACATATTTCCTGACTGACTACTTCAGCCAAGTGATCACTATGACAAATCTCATTTTAAATATCTTAAATGTGATAAAGCGGGCAGAAGCTCTGAAGCTCCATGTAAGAAACGGAGAGTGCAGCTCCAGCTGGAAGTTAGATCTGATGAGAAAATGTTGGGATTCTTTGATTCAGGGTAGATGGTCGTATTGCAAACACAAGAGCCACACTTAGTAAAAGAAAAATATATTTACTACAAAACAAAATAGAACATGGGTATGGTACTTTGGATAAAAGAAATAAAATAAAAAGGTTACATACTTACTTTCAGAAATAAATGCTAGCAGCTACATCTTTCTATCTGTCTCGGCTTCTAGAGGAGAACTAACTCTTTGGTTCACACAAAGGGCCATAAACCTTGTGAATACATTAATGCTAGATCAAAGCATTTCACTTCATTAGGATAAACAACTCCCACAAACTTTCCCGCCCGTTGAATACATTATGTAACGTAACATCCTGTTTGCTAACAAACAACATCTAACTCTGTAATGACTGAAGTGTAAGCGACTTGAAACTCCAACAGAAAATCAATATTGCATAGACTAGGGTTACCATATTTTGAAAAGCAAAAAAGAGGACATATTTCCCGACTGACTACTTCAACCAAGTGATCACTATGACAAATCTCATTTTAAATACCCCTATGATTTAAGCTGTGATCATTGCTGCTAACTAGGAATATTCCTAACCTTCCAACCCCAAAAGGGGACATTTCCTTCAGTTTTTTTTAAAAAAAAGAGTCCAAAAGAGGATGGACACCAAAAAAGAGGAGTTGGATTTATACCCCGCCCTTCACTCAGAGTCTCAGAGCGGCTTACAATCACCTTCCCTTCCTCTCCCCACAACAGACAGCCTGTGTGGTAGGTGGGGTGGAGAGAGCTCTGTGAGGACTGTGACTGACCCAAGCTGGCTTCATGTGGAGGAGTGGGGAATCAAACCCGGTTCTCCATATTAGAGTCCGCCACTCTTAACCACTACACCACACTGGTAACCCTAGCGTAGACTTCGTTTTTCCTCTAAAAAGTCTAGTGATTTTTCGAAAGGGAAGGGGGACAATATTTTTCTCCATGGCTTCACTATTCCCAGAAATGTTATATGTATAGATAGAATCCCTGCAAATTTCACCCCCATTGGGATAGAAAACTAGGCAGCTGTGGTGTAACAATATGCGTGTCCCATTGAAATGGAAAAATGGAAACCAGTGGAAAAGCAGAAAACAAAGAACTAGCAAAATAGAAACATAAATTTGCACCCCAAATTTCCCACTTCCCTGAGCAATAGAAAGGTCTAGTGAAACTGTTATGTATTGGAACGGAAGCATTCCTGATTGAATCACCCCAGAGACTGGCTGAGCTTGAAGCACAAGAACAATAGCCTGCCAGGATTCTGAAAGTGACCAATCAAGTAGTAATGTTATATGAATAGCCTATCGCTGGAAGTGCAGTATGTTTGGGTGTGGCAATTGCATGCTATTTAATAGAGGCTCTGGAGTCTTGTCTTGCTCTTGCTGAAATCACAAATAAAGTTGAGCTGATCCCTAGACTCGAGCCTGCTCATCCATGGAACCCATATTTAACAGAAACATTGCACAAAGTCAGCAGAAGTCTCTCTATTTCCTATAAGCTGCAAAAGAACCAACCTGCAGCCACTGCCTTGCTAAATCAAGGCCTCAGGACCATGGCCCTTTTGAAGACAAACGAATAAACTGTTTCGGTTTCAAAATGAGCGGCCGCTGTCTGTTTGGATTGTCCTAGTTTAGACAAGATCCCGAGAAAACCTGCAAGAGCATCTATGGAAAAGACTACGTTCGCTTCCCCACTGAGGCACCAGACCGGACAGTGATGAGGAAAAATATGAAGAAACTGGAAGTAAGTTAGGGGGGAGTCAAACGGAAGGTCGCCTGGTCTCTCCCTCCCTCTCAGACTCCTAGAGGGGCTGACTCTTCCTAGCTATTCTTGTGTGTATTCTGGGGGCACACTGCCTGAGGAGCAAAATGACTGAGAAATTATGTCTAAATACTTAGATAACTCCCAGAGGGGCTGACTCTTCCTGGCTATTCTTGTGTGCAGGGCTTTTTTTGTAGAAAAAGCCCAGCAGGAACTCACTAGCATAATTGGCCACACCCCTGATTGCACCACTCATTAGCCTATTAGGCCACACCCCGTGTTACCAGAAGTGTGGTCATCCAGCCACACTGACCTTTTGCTTCTTATTCTGTTTACCTTGTTTGTTGTCAAGACCCAGGGCTTTTTTGGTAGCAGGAACTCCTTTGCATGTTAGGCCACACACCCCTATTGTAGCCAATCCTAATGAGTTTCTGCTGCTGGGTGTGGCCTGTTATGCTAATGAGTTCCTGCTGGGCGTGGCCAACTTGGGAGCCAGCCGGAACTCCGTTCCTGTGCGTTCCTGCCCAAAAATAGTCTTGCTTGTGTGTATTCTGGGGGCACACCGCCTGGGGAGCAAAATGACTGAGAAATTATGTCTAAATACTTAGATAACAAATGGATCAAAAGGGTTTTAAAAAAAATTAAAAATCAATAAGTGTCACCTTATTTCCTTTTAGGGGCTGCCCAAGAAACATGTATTGACGCACCACAACGAAGCCAACTACCGACACTTGGTAACGCAATACGATGAGAATTTCATTCGGCATAGCTGTAACCCTTTGCTGCCTCCCCTTCGCAAATGGAGCAGACACAAAATGGGTTGGGTTCCTGAGAAATCGGATTTCCCACTTGTCGGTAGGTGCCTCGGGGATGTATAAGAGGAGGCCAGGGAGCCATCAGAGGGGTATTCTTGCCTGGGAGGATGAAACCCATGGTCATGATCATAGGCACAGGCCTGTAGCTACAGTGGGGCATTTCGGGGCCCTGCCCCCTTAAAGAAAAGCCTTGCCCCACAAATAGCCATGCCAGAAACCTTATTTTTGCATGTTTCCCAAAGGCTCGTGGGAATGCTTTCGAAAGACTCACCATGACCTAGGTGGTCCACAGCAGGACTGGGCTAGCAGAGAGGGGGATTGTGGGAGATATATTGAAGGCACCACTCTTGAGTGCCCTTCTAAGCTTTCTTGCTCTGTGGAATGCAAGAGGCATTGAAATGCCTTCTGAAGGCAATTAAATGTTCTCTGAGCTTGGCTTTTTCCTAAGAACTGATGTGCTTGCTGTCCTGTCCCTTGAAAGGAAGGGCTAGAAACAGGCTTGGAGCTCCCCGCCCTTTGAAGACAGGCATTCAGATTAATTAAATTAACTGTAAATTAACTGCCCCCTTAAAAATGTAAATACCCCCCAAACAAAAAAACATCCTGGCTACAGGCCTGGGCACGATTGTGAATTATCCTCTCCCTCCCAACAGAGGCCCTGAGGTCAGATCTTTTCTGGCTTTTCTGCTCAGTCCTTCCCAATCCCTTTCCTGCTTATATCCCCATCTCCACATGCCTTTTTGTCCACACGTACATATGCGTGTGCCGTCAGATTACAACCAATGTATGCCAACCCCAGCAAGGGGCTTTCAAGGCAAGTGAGAAGCAGACAGGTCAGTAGATCAGCAGTTCGAGACCCGAGTGTGCCGCATGACGGAGTGAGCTCCCGTCTCTAGTTCCAGCTCCTGCCAACCTAGCAGTTCGAAAGCAAGAAATTGCAAGTAGATAAATAGGTACCGCTTCGGTGGGAAGGTAACAGCGTTCCGTGCGCCTCGGTGTTTAGGCATGCCGGCCACATGACCACGGAAGCGTCTTTGGACAGCGCTGGCTCTTCGGCTTTGAAACGGAGACGAGCACCGCAACCCTAGAGTCGGATTTGACTGGCTTTCGAGCAAGGGAAACCTTTACCTTTACCTTTAGATAAGTCAGGGGGCACCCCGCACACATCCCTGTGCACACCCCCAAGGGAGCGCCTGAGCTGGATGGGGGGGGGGGGGGCCTTGGCGGTAAGTCAGGGGGCCGGGCCCCGAGATGTCCCACTGTAGCTACAGGCCTGGAAGCAGAGGTGGTCGGCCATTGCCTTCCTCTGCAGAGCCTTCCTTGGTGGTCTCCCATCTAAGTACCGAGGCGGCTTAGCGTCTGATGAGACCAGGCTCTCCCGTGCTGCCCTTTTGAATCTCACGGATTGCAAAATCGTTTCCCATTTCAGAGCCTCCCACAAACTATGGCCTTTTTGAGCATCTCACGAGGAAATGGAAGCAGAAAGACCCAACCGTGATGAGCAGCGTCTACACCGTTTCCTACCTCAAGCCTCCGGTTTCTGCTTACCCCGCCCACCCCCGCCCCGTCACCACTCGCCTCCTGAAGTCCAGCCACGAGCATTTGCGCCCGAGAACTATCGATGCTTATCTGTGAAAGGGCACAGGGGGGAAAAAATCTATGTTCTTACTGTTAAGTCGGCTACTTAACAAAGAGTCAGAGAGTGATTTCAGCAAAAGATCAGCTTTATTCAGCAACTCGTAACTCAACTCCAAACAGATCAACATGAATAGCCGGAACAGCTTTAGCATTGAAGCTGTTCCACTTTTAAACTCTCCCGGCTAATAGAGCCACGCCCTACTATACAATATCAACCTATGAGGTTGAGGAGATAAGGTCCAATCACATTCGTTCCCGCCTCTGGAACTAGGCGTTGGTGATTGGTCGGCTCTTCCTGGGCTACCAATAGTAATTGAGGGATTAGGGTCCTAGCCCAGGATGAAAGCTTCACATGGTGTTTCAGTGACAGAGTTCACATACATACTTTGGGTCAGATTGAATACACCACACTTACACAACAGTGGATTAAATACCGTACTTCTACTCAACTAATACAAAAAAGAGAGAGAAGCATTCTGTGTCCTCCTGTAAGAAAGTAGAGGCAGATCACTTGTTGGCAGCAAGGCAGCATCACCTGAGGTTCATTCAAGCCTGATTTTTCCCCCTCCTCTTCCTGCAGGTCTTGGACCTGGGTAGAGCCACAGGCATGAGCCCTTGAGTGAGCAGAAGGCCAAGAGGGCTCTTAGGCCAAGGGTCATGGCTCAGTGGTAGAGCATCTGCTTTGCATGTGGAAAGTTCCAGGTTCATACGTCCAGGTCTGCAGCCCACATCCCCCCACATTGTCCGCGGCTGGTTGGCTGAGCATTTGCTGCTGAGCATTCTTGTTTCTGGCTCTTCTGCACTCTCCTTTTAGACCATGTTCGCCACGGTCTCCTCCAAGCAATTCTGCACTAAAACTGAGTTCAGCCTTCTTTTTATTCCGGGTTCCCTTCCCCCCCCCCCATTCTGCATTACATTACCTCCCTTCAGCAGCCAGCCTGGTTTCAGCCTGTTGTTGCCCCGGGTTATTTGGATGCTGTCTTGCTGTGGACGTGGTCCCATTCTGCATCTAGCGTTCGCTCTGCTATTTTACCAAACCCACGCCGGAACAGAAGTTCCCCTCTACATTGCGTGCCACTTTCACGTTCTTTGATTGCTGGATTTTATGGTAGCCTCCACACGGCATGCTGGTCTCACTTCCCTTGATCTCTCGGTTTTATGGTACTGCCTGCATCGATTTATGGCCGTTTTATGGCCATTCAGGGGTGACTCTGTAGTCAGAATGGTGTCGGCCCTGGGGGTATTTGAATGTGGTTTTGAGCCGCATCTTTTTCTGTTCCAGTGTGGGCTTGCTAAAACAACAGAGCAAATGCTACATGCAAAATGGGCCTTAAATTGCCTCAGCTCGAACACTGAGGAAATCTGGAGTGGCAGGCAAATGCGGAAAGGACCACAGCTGCACTGAAAATGCTTAGAACTGCTAGGGAGGAGGTAGGGAGGTTCACTCTCAGCAGTTAGAGAGCAGAGTATCTGCTTTCCAATTGTGGCCTTCACAGTGACCCGGGGCTATTTTTGGGCAGGAACGCACAGGAACGGAGTTCCGGCTGGCTTCCGAGTTGGCCACGCCCACTACAGCCAAAACCTCTGTGTGCTTGGCTACAAAAGGCCTGGAAAGTGACCCCCCCCAGCGACTCTGAGGTGGGCGGGCCAGGGGGGGCCCTGGAAGGATTGGGAAGGCATTTAAATGCCTTCCCATCTTCCCCAGCCTGTCCAAGGGCCGACTTGCCCAGGTGCCCTGCAGCCGTGGGGTGCCTGGGCAACCCAAGGGAAGGCATGGGGGTGTGGCCTAATATGCTAATGATCTGTGCTGTCAGGAGTGTGGCCTAATATGCTAATGAGTTTCTGCTGTTGGGTGGGGCCTATTATGCTAATGAGTTCCTGCTGGGCTTTTTCTACAAAAAATGCCCTGCAGTGTCCCATCTGTCAGATGAGGGACTGGCTAAATTATTTTAAGCCATGTGCATCCAGGTGTTCCTTAAGGGATGCTGGGCCAAGGCGTCCCCATGAGGGTCGGAAATAATAACCACCCTGAACTGGACTCAGATAGGCTTCTTCCAAAACTCCTCCACATCCAAGTTCCTCTCCAGGTTTAGGAGTTCCAGATTATCTGGTCTAATTTCTGAAGTGAAACCAATTCATTAGGAATCTCCTTTTTTTAAAAAAATTGACTGTTGTAGAGCACATGGTGCACGTGCACAGTGGTGCAATGCTCAGTTTCTTCCATTCATTTGTGGACTGTAGTAATCAACCTGGCAGGAATTTGGATGGGGATTTCAGAACCGCCTTGATTGGCATTCCGTTCTTGGGAGGGAGGAATTCGTATTGGATAGAATTGTAAGCGTAAAAGAGGCTGTGACGCAAGCCCAACAGACTGAACCTAAGATCCAAGAGAGCTACAACTCCAGCAGGGAATAACAAGGGATATATAATGTTGGGGGGGGCTTTTTTTGGTATTTTCTGTGTATGTGTGTGTACATGTCTGCACCCGAAAATCACAGCAAGCTCTGGTGACTGACCCCTACTGGTGGCTTGGAGGATATTCAGAGAGGTGGCTGAATAAAGCCTGCCCCTGTCCTCCGGACGGCTGGTATTCCGAGGAAGTCTCCCATCCAAGTACTAACCAAAGTCAATCCTGCTTAGCTCTTGATGAGATCAGGCTTGCTTCGGCTATCCAGGTCAGAGCTATTATAATATAGTTGACTGGTTTATATTGGTGAAGGGGAGTAATAACAGGCTCTGATCCAGGAGGAATGGAAGGCTTGCAAATTCCTGACCACACCTGTTTAGATCCTCGTACAACCAACAGCTGTTTGCGCTCCTGCAAATCCAGGCAGAGCCTGTTTGACTGGAGGGCATCGCCGGCCTAGTGTGTGGGACTATGGAAGCATCCCGTCCCCTGTAGGTGCAAGTTCAACTCCCTTTCTTGCATCGAGCGTGACGGTAAACAGGTTGATGTGCAAGAGCTTCCATGGGCCACGAGGTTGCTTGCTTCTCCCACACATTACCACCACCACCCTGCTGAAAATCAGTTTTGCACCGGGACTTCTGCCTAATTAACATCCACTGCATACTTGAACATAGCATAAGAACATGCCAATGTTGGATCAGGCCAAAGGCCCATCCAGTCCAACACTCTGTGACACACAGTGGCCAGAAATACCAGGTGCCATCAGGAGGTCCACCAGTGGGGCCAGGACATTAGAAGCCCTCCCACTGTTGACCCCCCCAAGCACCAAGATGACAGAGCATCACTTGCCCCAGAGGTGGGACTATGGAAGCATCCCGTCCTCTGTAGGTGCAAGTTCATCACCCTTTCTTGCATCGAGCGTGACGGTAAACAGGTTGATGTGCAAGAGCTTCCATGGGCCGCGGGGTTGGTTGCTTCTCCCACACATTACCACCACCACCCTGCTGAAAATCAGTTTTGCACGGGGACTTCTGCCTAATTACATCCATTGCATACTTGCCAGTTCTCTCCTATCAGGCGATGGAGAGAAACGGCTTCTCTATAGCATAGCCCTTGTTTTGATTCATCACATACGGATTGTGTTGTTCGGCACCTATAGGGGTCTTCCTATGTTCATAGTGCTTCATGGACACTATCTAGAAGCCGTGTTTGTAAATCAGGCAGCTGTTATAATCCCCATATTGCAGAGGGCAAGATCTGAACCAGGGGCCACCAGGTAGCGGGCTCATTCTCTTAATGACTTTGCTACCCCGACTTTATTTGTTTATTTTGCAATGGTTATCCTGCCCTACCCCACAAGCGGGCTCAGGTCAGCTGACAACGGCTGATTTCGCATTAGAGCTGCCTCGATGTTGCGCCGCCGTTTGCCCCAATACTATTGGTCAATTTCACACCCGAAGCTGCGGGGCTGCATTTTGACTCGCGGCTTCGCCTGATTTCCCCCGCAGTTTCGTAATCCTGTTTTTTGAGGATCACGAAACTGCAGAGGAAATCGGGAGGGATTGCCTTCTGTTGGGTGTTGCCTTCTGACAAACTTCCGGTGATGTCAGGGGGTGTGGCATATGCAAATAAGTCATGCTAATGAGTTATGCTAATGAGTTCCTGCACCTCTTTTTCTACGAAATGACCCCTGGCTGCAGCCAAATCACCGGCTCACAACTTTAATGCCCGGAGCTCACGAGGCTCCACGTCTTAGAGGGAGCGTTGCCTATGGGGTCAGGAAATACAAATTAATGTACGTCGTGTGCCTCTGGAAATCTTAATCTGTAGTATTGTAATCTGATTTTAACTGTTTAACTGTTTTTAATTAATTGGGGTGTCCTTGTTTTAAATGTTTGTTCATCGCCCTGAGCCCATCGGTGGGGAGGACGGTCTAAAAACCGAATCAGACACTGATGAATGATTCTTCCAAGATTACCTGCTGCTGTATCCTCTCCTCTTAAAAAGAGAATGGTTATTTTTTCTTCTTAAAACCATTTGTTATTCCCCTGCCTCCCTTTCCGGCAGTTTTAACTGAGTAACTAATTCTCTCCTAATCCACAAGTTTGTAAGGGGAACTAGGGCACAGCAATCCAAGGTTATGACCTCGTTTCCAGTTTGGGAAGCAAACAAGACCTTTATACACAGTTACCTTCAGCAGACCTTGGATTCTGCATTGTGTACATGGCAGGGAGCTTGGGGAAAGCGAGTGAGATATCGAGCACAGGGAGACCTGGCACCAAGGTCCTCGCTTTTACAATATTTAAAAGAAAACAGAGCCTGTAAACAGAGGCTGCAAACTGGCCTGGTGTGTGTGTAGGGGGGTGTACCTGTCTTCAACAGCTGTTTGAATCTGGAGGGGGGGGAACAGGTGACGCTTTTCATACCTGGATAGCAGCATTATCAACTGCTCACATCTGTAGTGGCCGAGGCTAGGCCCGATCTCAGAAACTCAGCAGGGTCAGCCCTGGTTAGTACTTGGATGGGAGACCACCAAGGAAGTCCAGGGTCGGCCATCATGTCCCCTCTCAAACTTCCCTTCTCCAGACCG